AAATAGGAATAAGATACCTGGACTGTTGGTTCTTAAGGAAAATCACAAAATAGAAGAAGTAATAAATGTTTAGGATAGACAGTAAAGATGATGGTGGAGGATGCCATGACCTGAATGAAGCATGAACAAAGATGTCTTTTAAAATTACATGCTCCAAGTTGTACATTTTCAAGTGAGCATGCTGCAGTCTCTACAGAAGATTAATTTCACAAAGAATTTCCTTCAGTAGAAATGAATGTACCTAGGCTGTTTCAGATTCTGTATGAGATGCAAAGCTCGGAGTGAGTTCAAGGTCCATAGAAGTGACACCTGATTCAGAATTATTTAATGAACTGTATCTGTGTCATAGCAGAGGGGCAAATGAATGCATATTTTGGATTGTTCGCTTCTTTTACATGTTTTTATAAAAGTGAGGGGCTTTAATGTTTTAAGACTTATTCTAGATAACCTTCATCCAGAAAGAGTGAATAGAAAAAATGAAGTTGAGTGTAGTCACCATCAAGCTGGTGCTCTAAGCCAGAGGATTGATTCTCTGCCAGGTCTCTCTGAGTGATTGTGCATCTTAAGTAGTTTTATGGTAGCTGATAGACATGGCCCTAGAGACTTGTCTTCTCTCCTTGGCTGAGGATATCCTCCCAGCCAGAAAGACCCTTCTCTCTGAAGTATCCAGAACTGATAAATCCTTTAGGAACCTGGGAACTGGAGGATGTCAGACAATCCTTCCTCTCCAGATTTCCTTCCACAAAAGCCCATGTTACTGTAAATTTGGCTATTTTCCCCCCTTACCATCTGTGTCTGAACTTTCTGAGCTCACATTGTCCAGGGCATAACTCTGGACCTCTGACCAGTTTTCTGTCAGTTCCTAAAATATTATAGCAAGTGTGACAAAAGTATGTAAAATCTCATGGAATTACAGTATTCTGTTCTTTCACTTACTTTGTCGCAAAAAATAAGCTGTTTTTATTTCAAACCAAAGCTATGTTGAACCACAAGGCTATGTTTCAATATTACACTTTCTTCACTAAATTGTGCTAAAAGCATAGATTTTTTTCTGTAGAAGTGTGTTAGAGTGGGTGGTGTTCATAAAAATCTTTCATCAAATTACTCAGTACCTAAAAGCCCCAATCTCTTTCTGTTCTGAGCAACATCATGGCAAGGGGTTTTTTTCTAGCTGTGTCTGAGGATGTAGTGAAAAATCTCATCTGGATGCTAGGTTTTTCTTTTGGCTGAAATAGGAACAGATGAGAAATTCAAAAAGAGAGATCCCTGGGAAAAAAAAAAAAAGGGACATACAGAAAGGAACTAAGTGATTAGCTAAAATAAATTTAGCGTGTGTAATGTTAACAGATCATTTACTTTACCAGTTCTGTTTGGATTATTTGCAGCTGTAGTTCTCTGATAATGCATGTTTCATATGCCACAATTTTTTCTTTAATTCTTGTATTCAAACCTAGTTTCTCTTACCATGTATTACAGTTCTAATAAGCGCCTGGAGCAAAGTACCTGAAGGTAAAACTCAAATCTTGTCCTCTTCTTTCATGTTGCTTCTAAAAGTTGCTGTATTTTCAGGTTCTGTCACTGTCCTGTTGTCAAAATTCTTGATTGACTTGTTGTCAGAAATATTGTTTAATTTCATGGAGTTACTCACTGTTCTCACTACAGATGCAATTTTTTTGAGCATTATTGTCAACATACGGTTATTGTAACTTTAGACTACAGATTGTTGTTTTTTCCCTTCCCTTTTTCTCCTAACAAACACCCACTAATTCTAGGCTCTGCTGTCTGGTCTAGTATTGCAATTTCATAACCATAGCCAAGAGTAAAGCTGCTCTTTCCCTTCCCACAGGACTCAGCTTCAGCTTCCCACGTGGAACTGATTGAAAAAAACATGCCAGAAAATGTGTTTTGACAAACTTCTGAGCTTTTGACTGAAAGAAATATGTGAAAACGATGTGCTTTCCACTGGAAAATGCAGATTCTACTGAAAATCAAAACATTTTGAAACATGGTTGAAAACTTTTAAGTCAGAGGTGTTCCAGGATCATCGGTGTCGTTTTGGCAAGTGACATGCGATGTAGGAGATGTGATATGTTCATGGAGCTGTTTGTGTCAAAATAATGAGGCACATGAGTTAAAAATCCCATGAAGTGATGTAGCAGCACTACAATACAGTATGGTAAACATTTGCAGCCACAGCATGTCAGAATCTGAGGGCAAAGAGTGAGATTTGAAAGAGGGGAGAACAACAGTCTATAAAAAATGCTGTGGTAGGTTTGTAGATTTTTCACCTGTAGGCTTTGAGGGAAACACACACCCCCCAAACAAACACACACATGCACACTCCACCCCTGTTTTCTGACCATGTCTGTTGCTGTGTTACTCGGTAGCTTTACATAAGAAAGTTCAAATGAGGAAAGCTTCTCTGCAGTAATTTTTTTTCCTGTGGTGATAACTAAACCCTTTCATTAATGTAAATATGAATGACTGTTTTCTAATGAGGCTTTCATAACTGCCCTCCTTTGTGTGTTCTGAGGCTGTGTGAATGCACTCAAAAGCAGGTGAAGCTCAAAAAAAGCTTATATTGTATTTACATAGCTAGAAATCTGATGGACTTTAAATGAAAAATTCTTGCTGTTATATTTGTGAGTCAGAAAAGAACAGCTATGAAGAGCAAAACTAAAGACGTATTTAATCAGCAAAGGGAATTTTGCCAGTCCTCAGTGCTTTGAAGTAAGTTTAATGTGAAGATTGGTCTTTTTTTTCTTTGGTCTCAGTTCGTCTCAGCATTTAATTTATTGGTGGATAGCCTGTGCAGGGTGAAAGTGCAAATGCAGAGCGAGAGTTCAGTAAGTGCTGGAAGTCTCTGGAAGCTTTTGGAACGCCTCTGTGCTGGAAATGGGCTTTTACAGTCCTATTCATATAATGAAGTTTTGCTTTTTTCCCTGCTCCATACAGCTTGGATAGACAGCTGAATTTTAACATGCAAGCATTGATGGAGGAGCTTGAATTTACCACTGATAGGCTTATTCCACCTTTTATAGGATTATCTGGCCTTTCTTGTTGCAGATAGACATTGACACAATAATCCGGCAGCTATTGCCACTTGCTTCCAAAAATCTGGGTCTGCAAATGAAGATGGCTAGTTCTTCTTCATCCCAACTGGCTTAAAACCCCACCAAATTAATCAAATAATCCAGTCAAAAATTACAGATATCCAGGAAAGATTGAACCCTGTGGAATGAAAAGGAATGGGCAAGGATTTGTGAAGGTGCATTGATTCCCTGAGCAGCATGAGGAAAGCCACATCACAGTTCTCCTGGTATGACCACTGCAGATGCATTCTTGCTGTATGGATTCACTCTTGCCTGAAAGTTTTATCCAGTGTGAATGTGGATGCTTCTGTGTCTGGCTCTGGTCCTGTGCCTTGATTTATGATTTAAAAAGAAACATAAGCATTTTTTTGGTATGCTGTTTAATAATCAGAAGTCCCAATCTATTTTTTCTTAAAAATGAAACAAAACCCATACAGGCAGTAGCTGAAATCCCAGATGAACAAACAGATGTGACTATGAGTCCTGAACCTTTGATGCTTTAGGGGTATAAACACAGCTTCAAACCAACACCAACCTCTGGCTTTAAAGCTTTGACTTCCATTGGAAAGAAAGAGTTTCTGATCTCCAGAGCTGTTGGGTAAACTGTGAAAGGACAGTCACAGTTATTTATTTGCACAAGTTTGCTGTGGGATGTACTGGCCCTGTGGCAATACATGTGGAGGCAGAAGGTACTTTACTGAGCTGCCCCTTGTCTCCTTGTATGTAGAGCCCATGGTTATTTTATAGTTTTATAAGAGTGCTTTTCTTCCATTCATAGGATTTCTTTCATATCCTTAATCTCATACTGGCTTTCCCAACCATCCAGAGAAACTCTAAGGCTTTGGAATATTTAAAAAGATTTGAAAATTTGTCTGCCATTCTGTGTTTGAATATAGAAGCTGCAGGAACAGACTGTTACTGCATTTTTTCCCTCTTCCAGAATAGGCTAAGAGGGGTCCACTGACCACAGCAAGAAAGTGAAGAGGAAACACAGCCAAGACTGGAATACCCCAGCCTCCTGTCCCATCCCCAGTGTGGTTTGGGTTGTCAGTAGATCCTTTGCTTTTAGATTAAACATTGCTCCGTATATCTTGACATGGAAGGGGCAGTACAGTGGTTTTGCAGTGTGTGCAGTCCCTGCCAAAACGCTGAGACACGATGGGCCAAGGCCATGCCTGGTTGGAAGTGAGTCCTGGATCATGGCAGGGTGAGGTGTGAAAGGACCCTGTGCGCTCCAGATGGGTATCAAGGGCGCTGTAGCTTGGGCAAAGCAGGGAGCTGATACAAAAGTTTCAGCCTGTGAATGTTGCAGCCTTTTTAGCTGATCTCCTGGATGTTCTTAATGGCTTGATAATTCACGAAAAACTTCTTATTGCTTCCATTGTAGTGTTGGCCTGGGGGCCAGTGAGGGTGTATGGTGTGAGGCAAAGTTGGGCCGTACAGTCCAGCCCATCTGATGGGTTGGGTAATTGATTGTGGGACTGCAGCTGGGAACAGAATTTCAATCTGCACTTATGAAACAGCTTCTATTCCAGTCTTGATCTCTGGGGAATGGATGCAAAACACCAGAAGAATAAGATGCAGCTCTTCCTCGTGCATCATGTTTGTCAAATCAGCTTTTGACCTTTTACTGGCTTTGTAAAAATATGAGAGTCTTTGACTCAGTTTCAGGTTATTAGGAAGGAGATATTTTTTTCTGTTTCACTTTGGGCTGTAATGACTGTGAGGTATGAAACAGCCTAGATGTAGGCAGCAGAATAAATACTAAAAACCTTTTGTGTTCATATTTCTCCAGTGTAAATGACTGGCTTGTGAGGAAAGCTTGGGTTTGGTGGTATGAACGGTATATTTATTTTTTGTCTTCTAGTACTGAACAGAAGAGATTAACTCTTTTGTGCTTATTTTCAGACTGGATATTTCCATCTGCCCCATGGGGATTACTTCATTGAGCCCATTAAAAAGCATCCACAGAAGGAGGGAACACCCCATCCCCATATTATCTATGGTGCAAATAACCTTCCAAATGCTTTAAGGAGAAGACGGGCCATCCCGATGGAAAAGGAACGAACATGTGGACTGAATGGTACTAATTTTTCTGCATTTCAATCAATTTGCTTTCTGAATCTTTTTAAGCAGCTATTTTCCAGTGGTGTGTGCCTTTCCTTCTGCCAGGCTTTTTAAAACTCTGTTAGAAAAGATTATGCAAAATGAGAGCATCTCAATCAAAACACCACGGGAGCCACCCATCTGTGTTCCTTTCTGAAAAGTTAAATCCTCCTTATGACTGCTGGGATATGTTTTTCACACCACTGATCCTTTCTACCCTTCAATTTTTCTCCAACCAGAACTGTTCAGTGAGTTTGAAACCTGAATTCTTGAGGAGCTTTGGGATAAAAGGATTTGCAGTCAGCATTATTTTAAATAAAATGTTCTCACTCCATGCCAAGTTCTGTCTTCAACATAAAGTAACTCCCGTCTAGTCCATGGTTTAAATTTAGGATTTCTAGATTTTCTGTGATTGTTAGCAGATTATTTAAAGAGTTTTATTTAGCTATTCTGAAAGTGAAGTACAGGGCATCAAGAGCAAGATTTTTTTAGTGGAAGTAAAAATAGCTTGAATATTGGTGCAGTAATACTCAGGATCATGTCTTTTATGAAGACAAACTAGTACACTATGCTGGAAGGGAAGTCTAGAGGGTTGTTGGCATCTCATAATTACAGAATTAGTTCCTTTATTTAGTTAAATAATTTCCTTTATTTATTTCACACCAAGAATATACAGATTTTGTGTTAGCTTTCTGATGTTTGAGGCCTTGGATCTGAGTCTGCACCAAACTTAAGAAAGGCATAATATTGGTAGGGATGAATCAGTAATTACTTACATGACCTAAGGCCCAAGGTATGTACAAATAGAGCTGCAGAATACACAGGAATGTGTTTCTGTCTTTCACAGGTCAGTGGTTCAAGAGAAGTTGGTTCCTTTCCAGGAATGGGAAATGAAAGGAGGAATGTAGGAATTTTTAATCCCCAATCATGACTGCTGGTGAAGTTTTACTGCTGAGTAATATGGATTGGTAAATTAAAGAAGCAAAGAGCAGCTTGACCCCCCTGTGTTTCTGGTCATAGACCTGAAGTGCCCTTCTTGCTTGCTGGCCCAAGGTAGTGCAAAATGGTAACGGGGAAAAAGTGAGAAATTTGATGAGGGAGTTACTCAGTCTTCTGTGATAGTGGGAAGGTAAAGGGGAAGCCATAAGAATTAATATGAATGCTGCTCCATTTTATTATTCATCAAGTGAAAATATGTCTATTTAATAGAAAATAACCCTGGATTTGAAAAAACCAGGAGTGTCTAAAGGTAATGTTTATATTGGTATCAATTTCAAATAGCTCCCTGAAATTTCATTCCTTCTGATGACTGCTGGGCTAGACAAGAGAAATTAGTTTAGATTTGCCTGTGAAGAATGAGGAAGTTGTTCTTGCCTACTGTCTTCCAGGTTTCTTTTATGGATGAAATAACATATGGATGAAATAACATCTGCATGCAGTAATTAAAAGTGTGGAGAGGACATTGGAGATCCTTGGGAACATGTTGTTTGCTTGCTTTGTGTGATCTGCTTATTTTCTTTCTACCGCTCACATTTGCCTCTTGTATCTTTCTTCAAAGTCAGGCAGAATGGGACAGAAAAAGACTGGCTGTACCTGGACACTGTAAAAAAGAGAATAACTTCTCTACATTACTTAGATTAGCTGAGTCTGCTCTAATAGACTTGTCAGTTTAAACTTTCTGTCTAATGTTACTCTTTCCAAAGTGACAGAATTATTTCTGGTGATAGTATATTCATTATATTGCACCCAAACAGAGATGGTGCCTTATGAACTAACCAAGTAGTCAGCTGTAAATTATGTTTCTTTTTTTCAAGTCAGCCCTTGGAGGTAATATCTGCTTTTAACCAAACCAAAATCTTGGCTGTCATAAAAGTTAAAGAATCAGTGTGAAGAAATGTATGGGGTTAAAGCCATTTCCATCATTACATTTTTCCCCTTCGTTCGACAGCATATAACAATCATAGAATCCTCAAAATGCCTTAACATTTAAGCTGTGTGTTATGTATCCTGGGCTGCACCCAGAGCCCCGTGGGCAGCAGGGCAGGGAGGGGATTCTGCCCCTCTGCTCTGCTCTGCTGAGACACACCTGGAGCACTGCATCCAGCCCTGGGCTCCCAGCACAGGACCCACAGGGACCTGCTGGAGCCAGCACAGAAGACAGGCAACAAGATGGTCAGAGGACTGGAGCATTTTTCACCCTGGAGAAAAGAAGGCTTTGGAGTGAACTAATTGTGGCCTTCCAGTACCAGAAGTGAGCCTGCAAGGATGGACAGAGACTTTTTACAAGGGCTTGGAGTGAAAGGAAAGGGGGAAATGGCTTTAAACTGAGAGTAGATTTAGATAAGATATTAGCAAAAAATTCTCTGTCTTGAGGGTGGTGAAGCTCTGGAACAAGTTGCCCAGAGAAGCAGTGAATGCCCCATCCCTGGTAGTGTTCAAGGCCAGGCTGGATGGATCTCTGGTGTAGTGGAAGATATCCCAGACCATGGCAGGGAGTTGAAACTAGGTGATCTTTCAGGTTCCTTTCAAACCAAGCCATTCTGTGTTTTGTTATCTCATTTCTGAGTAGCCAGCTTTTCAACAGGGATAGAAGAAAGAAAGAATTCAGTGTCATCTTCTGTTGATACTGTGCATTGTCAGAGCAGTTGCTCTTGTTAGAAGTGAAATACAGAAGAAAAAGGGAAAGTGTTACAATTCTTGCTTTCTGTGCCAAAAGTATTCACTACTTAGGCTTTAGTATACCTATATTTATATATATTAGTATATCTATATTTAGATTAGTTATTTATATATTAGTATATCTATATTTAGAATACCTTGCGCATAAATAAATTTTAAAGGTAGTAAGTTGACTCTGCCACCTTTTCAGGATTTCATGTACTTCATCCTTTTGAGGTTGGTACCAGAAATCTTGTACACCTATGTGACATCACAGATAGCTTAGAGTAATGCCTTTTGGGATCCCTTCAAGGCAAAGCATTTTCAATTTGCAGTTCACAGTTAATTATAAAAACTAATTCTGTTTTATAGGTTAATTTCCATTCTGTGTTTTCAACTCTCAGCAACTGCTGAGCTGGGGCTTAGCTGAAGAAGAGTTGCCTATTGTATGTCTTACCAAATATTTTAATCTCGTGGGCTGAGACTCATCATGAAAGTGTCTGCATTTGTTCATTTGAGCTCTGAGTTTGTTAGGCTTTTTTAAATTAAACTAAGATACTTGAGTTATTTCTGTGACTTACACTTGGTGTATGTTCAGGTTAAAGTTAGTGATGATTTTTTCTTGAAGAAGTTGAATCACCTCGATGCTTATGAGTCAGTGCACAGAGTTGAGTGGTGATAATAGAAATCTTTTAGTCAGAAACTAGTCTGGCTGTCAGGCAAGGACTATAAGGACTAGTTGTACAGACAAAGTCAAAGTTAAGGAATTACTGCAGGGGGGAATAGGCAGAGGATGCTAATCCTCTGTGCAGTCTTTTTCCAGGTTTGTTTTTTTTTTTCTTTAATGCAAGATCTGTGTCTCTTGGAAGAAGCATTGTGCAACAGCAACTTTTACAAGTTTTACTGTGGCAACAGCTGCATGAATATCAAGGGTTCAACTTGTCTTGCCTACACATGCAATAATGTTTTAGAATCACTGACTTTCCTGTAGTCTTGCAATGATTACATTAATTATGTTGTAATTGGTATTGTCTTTAACAGTTTCAGATACTTGGAGAAAAATCATCACAGTAAATTACGTAAATTAAAACTTATGTTTGTTTTGCACACTTTCATTGCTGCTCAGGCAAATGCCAGCTGACTCAGTCATTAGCTGCATGCAGAACTGAGTTACTAATACTGAAAGCAGCATAACAATACTGGACTCTGCTAGCACCTGTCTCACTGCACTATTTGAAATACATGTGAGAAGTGTCAGAAAAGATAAATGAAAACTGTCCCTGTGCCTTATAAAAAACCTCTCTAATCCTTTGTGCCCACAGGAGAGGAAACTGAGGATCTGCAAGTTTGTTTTATTCTTCTAAATAGGTATTTTAAAAGCTTGCCAGTGCTCTGATATATAATTTAAGGAAAGAGGAATTTTCCTACTTTCTCTAGAAAAAGAAGTGGCCTCCTATTTCTTCTGCTTGTTTTCATTGCTACCAGGAGGGCACTGGTGCAAACAGAGGGAATTCTTTTCCTTGAGCTGGAGAGAAGGACAGGTTGCTGTTGTTCAGAGGGTGAGGGCAGTTAAGTTTATTCAGATTGCAGCCTGGTGATTGCTGCAGAGGGCTGTGAAATGTAACTAAGGCGTGAAAGGTTTCGGGTATTGAAAAAGATCTCTGAGAATGTTTAATTGGAGCTTTAGGTGTAGAAAAAATGGTAATATATTTTACCATCATTTTGGCATTGAAGTATTTGATCAGTCTGAAGCTGAGGTTAGTTTGGGTTTGACATGGGCCTCCACCTCCTTGTCTGCAGAGAAGTTACAAATCTTGAAACTTATTTTTTTTGCATTTGGAGCAATTTTGCTCCAGAATTGTAAATGTGATGTGATAAAGCCGGGGTGAAAGAAAGGAGAGAAGAGACTGGCTGCTGTGTGCAATGATGAGGAGGGGAGAGGGAGTTAAAGGAGCAGAACAACATTGTGCAAAACTGTTTTTTAACAGTTTTCCCATCATCACTCAAAATTTAAGTATTTTGAGTGCTAATGGCATAATTAATTTAACAGAAATCTAAATGCCATTAAGCTCTTTCAGACAATTACTACCTGTTCTACTTCCTTTGACTGCAGAACTTTATTAAATTATGGTCTTGCTTTTTGACGATTAACTTGATACTGTCAAAGGCTTCTCTTCAGTTTTTATGCTTGCAAAGTGTACAGTATGAACTAGTAATACTGGCTTTTGACCCTGAAATCCTTTGTTTAATCACTTGAAAGAAGGAGGGGGGAAAACCCAGGGCAATATTTTATTCTCAAGCAATAACCTATCTTCTGTT